TTTCCTAGCACAAGGTCGTGAGCTCCGTTCTGGCGTTCCGGGAGAAGGAGAGGCAGAGGTGAGGCAGGCCAGGAAGGGTGGGCGCTGGGAGGCTGTGCCAGACTCGAGGTATGTCCTGGAGCCTGTTTTTGTCTGTTGTCCCCTTGCTGTCCCATCCCTGTCCCCCCACTGCAGGCTGCAGTCAAACCCCGACCTGAAGCTGGGGGCTGTGACCTCCGTGAACCTGACTAAGCTAGAGGGCGGTGTGGCCTTTAATGTGGTCCCTGCCACCATGAGCGCCGGTTTTGACTTCCGAGTGGCACCGGACGTGGACCTGAAGGTGCCGCCTCCACCCGGGTTTTGAGGAGGGAGCCCGGGTCCTCAATCCTGCCCTGGAGGCTCAGGGAGGCCTCAGGGGCCAACTGATCTCCTACTGCTTGTAGGCTTTCGAGGAGCAGCTGCGAGGCTGGTGCCAGGCAGCTGGCCAGGGAGTCACCTTGGAGTTCCTTCAGGTGCCGCCCTCTCGTGGGCAGTGTTTCTGGGGAGGGAGTGTGTTGGGTGTTCCTGCACGCAGCAGTGTCCTGGCACTGTCCTGGCTCTGAGGGGTGCCTGCTCTTCACCCACAAGCACTGGCTGTGGAGGCCGCTGCTGGCGCTGGGGAATGCTGTAGGGAGTCAGAGGACACGCAGCGAGGGAGTCTTGGTCCTCGCATCGTGGGGGGAGACATGAGCCAAGGCCCCACAGAGAAGTGTTTTTATGGAAGTAGAAACACGGGGTCCAGGAGGGGGTGGGGCCGCGTGCCCTGAGACCTGTAACTGGAGCACTTGAATGGCCTGAGATGTTGGGGAGGGAGGGCCATCTGAAGGAAGGGCTCTTGGGCTGGGCGGGGAAGGGTGGATAGGGAGGGAGCAGGCGGAGGGCCTGCCTGTGGCCGGGTTGGCCAGCTGGCCCTCCAGGGAGGTGTGTGCTGGGGCAGTGGTGGACGCGTGCCCTGTCCTGATCCTGCCATCCTTCGCCTCCCCCAGAAGTGGACGGAGCCCCGAGTGACATCTACTGATGACTCAGACCCCTGGTGGGCAGCATTTAGCGGGGTCTGCAAGGACATGTGAGCGCACGGGTCCGCCCTCCTCTCCCCATTCCCTCTCTCCCCCAGCTGCCTCCTTCCGCCTTCTGTTGCCCCCAGTCCTGCCTTGATCCTCCCTCCCCCGGTTCACCAGGCTCTGTCCCCTGCAGGAACCTCACTCTGGAGCCAGAGATCTTCCCTGCCGCCACCGACAGCCGCTATCTCCGTGCGGTGAGCTGTATGCGGTGCACCGTGGTGCACCGGGCAGTGGGTGGTCCTGGGCGCCGGCCCTCCCCCTAACAGCTCCTCCTCATCCTGCAGGCAGGGGTCCCGGCTCTGGGCTTCTCCCCCATGAACCGCACACCTGTGCTGCTGCACGACCATGACGAGCGGCTGCACGAGGCCGTGTTCCTCCGTGGGGTGGACATATACATGCGGCTGCTGCCTGCCCTGGCCAGCGTGCCCGCCCTGGCCAGCGAAGGCTGAGCCCATGCTCCCGGCCTCTGGCCCTGGCACCTCCACCCTGACCAATGTCCCCGACCAACAATAAAGTCTGTGTGTGGACAGGGGCCGCTGAAGTACTGACAGCAGGGACATTCATGGCACAGGGACGCTCCTTCCTCTGGGGACATGCTGTTACTGTCCCCGTGGCTCCAGGCACCACCGCCCACCCTGGGCTGCTGTGACCTTCAACTCAACACACCCGTCCTGCCCCACCCAGCCGTGTCTGCATCCGGCCACAAGGGCCACCATGCCTGTTCTGTCTCGGCACGAGGTCAGGGATCCCATGCCCACTGGGCCTGGGGGATGTTCCAGCCTGGATCTAGCTTGCAGGTCTGTGGCGGTCGCGTCATGCAATGGTCTCCACACTCCAGCCCCTGCACTGGCTCTTAAGTTTCACATGCCCCAGATGCCTCAGTGGTCAGCCAGGGGCTTCAGTCACAGGGAGGTAGCTCATGTAGTCATCAACTGGCCGCACAGGAGACACTGAGGCCACAGCAACAAGACAGATGCGCAGAAGAGAATGGCTGACTAATGGAAGCCATCCACGTATCGGTCACAGCTTTTCCCGCCATACTCCCCAGGACCCGAACCAGTGCACTAACAGGCCACCTGGGCTGGGGTTGGGTCCCTTGGGGTGTTTGCTTGAGATTTCCCTCCTGCTGACCGAGGAGAGGTGTCAGCAGACTCACCTGGTATAAGACCCAGTGGTTGGTTTGGGTGCAGCACGGGGGCCTCCCTGTAACAACACCCCTGAGGATGTGGGGGCCTTGGGTCAGAAAGGCCTGTTTATAGGGCCCGGGAGACGTGGCCCCAGGGGCCTGGCCAGGCTGCATGGCACACACATGTGAGGAGAGGCGATGCTCCGTCCTAAGGTGCCTGGGGCGGGGGGGCGGGGGGCACGCCGGACCAGGCCCTCCTTCCTCTTTCAGCGGTGCGTGTGCCAGTCCTCAGTGTCCCCACAGGTCGCAACTGCATTAGGGTGACAGGGCCCCACTCGGGACTGAGCAGTACCTCCCCAGCCAGGGCTGTGAACTGCCCCAACAGGGAGAATGGGCTGTGGCAGATTCCAGTAAATGATCCTGGTCCCAGGGACAAAAGAGCCTCGTGCCCCATTACCATGGCCAAGCCACCAAGTTAGCCCTTTCCTAACCAGCCCATTGGCCACTGCGATTTGCTCCTGTTCCCACCCAGGGAGTATCCGGCAATGGATGGTTCAATGCCAACTGCCACCCGGGTGGGTGGGCTGCCCTGGCCTGAGCCACTGGCATAAGAGTTCCCTCGCAGACCACAGGGCCCGAGGCAGGGACACCAGCTCTTCAAGGCTGTGGCAAAGGGCCTGGTGGCCTGGCATCTCTAGAGACAGTGCTCCTCTGCCACAGGTGGGCAGGACCCTCAGTGGGGGCGGGAGTCAGAGCCGGCCAGTCACGGGGCCCCGCCCACCCTGGATGGCAGGCCCTACTCTGGCTGCTCCTTTCGGGTGTACCTGGTCTCCACCCCCTCCCACAGTTGGGACCAAAATCCCAGGGGCAGCTTTTGCTGTTTCTGCTGCATTGCCCCGCCCATGCCTCCTGGGGTCACCGAGACATTAATTCGGGTGGCAAAAATGCCCGAGACCCCGAGAGCTCTGACATGTTTGGTCAGTGCCTTTGCTCTCACAGGCGTCCTCTGGTTGGGCTCCCAGGTCCGTGTGCCCCCTGGTAATGGAGCAACACAATGAGATAAAGGTTCACCAATATTTCTTTGCCTCTCCCCCCACTTTCCCTCTAAAAACAAAATTTTATTTTAAGAGGGGAAGGGAGGGACAGAGAGACAGAAACATTAATGTGCAAGAGATCCATTGATCAGTTGCCTCATACATATCCTCACTGGGGACCCAGCCCACGACCCAGGTGTGTGTCCTGACTGGGAATGGAACTGGCAACTTTTCCGTTCACAGGCTGGTACTCAATCCACTGAGCCACACCAGCCAGGGCCAAAAATAAAACCTTAAAAAAAAGTTCACCAATACCCCAGATTTCCCACGGATGTCCATAACCCCCTACCTGTTCCCTGTGGGGCAGGTTCCTGCTCCTCTGACCACCTGGGGGGCAACACATCTTACCCACCCACCCCCCAGTCCTCTCACCACAGCACTGGCCCCACCTTTTTCCTGGACTCCTACCTGTCCTCTAGCAGGTGGTCCGGGCAGGCTCGCCAGGTCCTCTGCAGCAGCATTGGCATTTGCACAGCATGGTGCCAACCAAAGCAGGGGCAGTTTCCAGGGACCAATTAATGGTGAGCTCCACCTGGGGCCTCTGTGGACCCCCATGGCCTCACCCGACAGTCCTGACCTTCATTCTTTACTTGATACAACCCAGAAGGCTCCTCCCGGACTGCAGATGCTGCTGGGCTGAGCTGAGGGTGCAGGACCCTAACCCGGATACTGAGTCAGAAGGATTACCTGATCTTCGCTCTGGGGTGCCCAAGGAAGCTTGTGGGTTAGCCTCCCAGGCTCTTTCAAAAGATTCTGTTGTTAGAGATGGGGAAGGAGTGAGATGATTGGCTGGTTGCCTCACACACTCCCAGGTGGGGAGGACATGGCCTGAAACCCTGGCACGTGCCCTAACAGAGAATCAGACCCACGACCTTTAGGTTCCCGGGCCAGTGTTCAACCCACTGAGCTACACCAGGCCAAGTCAGGGCTTCCTTCCTGCTATTCAGACATGAAGCTAAGTTTCCCCCCGATCTGCAGGTGTCTCGTCCCGCTATGGGGCTCAGCACAGACAGGAACGTCCACTACTGTGGGCTGGGGAGCTATGCGAAACCTTCGCTCTCACCCATGCTGAGTGGCCTGGTCCAGTGCCTTAACACGGGGCACAGACTGTCCAGTGCACACCCAGCTCTCCAAGTGTCTTACGTTTTTTTTTTATCCTCACCTGAGGACATCCTTTCATTGCTTTTTGAAAGGCAGAAGCATCAACTGGTTGTCTCCCATATGTGCCTGGACCAGGAATAAAACCTGCAACCTTTCGGTTACGGGACAACGCTCCCACTCACCATCTCTGGCCAGGGCGAATCTGCCGTACTTCTGGACTTCAGGACAGAGGGGTCCCATCTCTGCGGGATCTGCCTGCAGTCGTATTCGAAGTCTCTCCTCCACACCTGGGCCTGCGCCCAAGGTCCGCTGGGAGGAGCCCAGTCTGGCCCCTCCAGGCCAGAGTGCAGCGCAGGATGGTTGAGCAGGACCCCTTCCCTCTCCTGCACCAGTGGCAGGGCCTACAAGGCTGTGTGGGAAGCCCCCCTTTCCTCACCAGCCGCACCAACCACTCCTCGCTAGATCCCCTTCTTTTATCCTAGGAAGCTACTTCCCCTGCCGCCCAACCTCATACCCCCAACCAGCCAGATCAACTCTCCCACAGAAAATGGAGGCAGTGACCCCAACCCCAGTCCTGGGATCAGGACCACAGACACAGGCTGACAGACAGACCGCCTCATGTTTATTTGCACAAACACCACAGGAGGACCCCAGCCCAGGGGCACACCAGCACATCCTTCTGTCCTCACACCGGCAGACAGAGGCCTCCACTATGGAGCCTTCGCAGGGGCCTGGGCACCTTTGGGAGCCTGAGCCTGAGCCTGAGCCTGAGCCTGAGCCTGAGCTGGAGCCTGAGCCTGAACTGCGGCTGCATCTGCAGCCTGGGGCTTGGTTTGGGCCTTGGCCTTGGCCTTTGGCCGGCAGAGTCGGAGACCTTTGGCGATGCGGGCACGAGCACGTTTCCCGAGCTTGGGGTGAGCAATGTAAGCAAGTCGACTGAGCTTGCGGCTGCTGCCCTTTGGGATCGTGGGCTTGGGCTCCTTGGACTTGACCAGGGCCTTGATAGCCTCAGCACGTGCACTCATGGCCTTGGCGTTGTTGGCCTGCATCTTCTTCAGGCCCTTCTTGTTGTGCTTCTTGGCAAAGCGCATGTTCCTCAGGAACTTGGGGTCTACCTGGAAGGAAGGAAAGGCACAGGTGCCTGTAAGTGCAGCATGTGGGGCCCCCAAGTCATCCCCAGTGCCCCCTCTCCACAGTGGTACCCAGGAGACTCAGCGGACTCCAGCAGAGGCCTGTCGGGGGCCTCGAGAGCATCAGATCGGCCTCAAATGCTGAAATAACCAACCCTTGGAACTCACCTGCAGAGACACCCGCACCTCCCACCCCACGAATGCTGGACACGGTCCCCATCTTCAGGGCCATGTGCCCAGAGCCCTGCACAGCTCAAGTGCCAGTGCAAGAGAACAGACAACAGGAAGGCCACCCCTCGTCCAGCCCCCAGGCAGCAGAGCTTCAATCCCCAGGGCAGGGCACCGGCGCCACCCCCACCCCCTTCTAGGAAGGGGTCAGCTAAATACCAAACCTAGTACAACAGACTCACAGCAAATGAGGCAGAGCAAGAGACCAAGACACAGAAAGCAGGGCTCAGAGACCTGATGATATGCCCCCCAGGCACAGACCAGGGGTATGGACAGAGGACTCAGCCCCCAGCCCCCACAGAGCCCCCCCTTCTGAGCACATCCTCAGAGCCCCCTGGCACAGGGATGTGGTCAAACTGTCCTTGAGAGGTGGGTCACACCTGACCAGGGGCTACATCCCGGGCTGGGAAAGGCCAAGTAAAGCTTTATTGCGAACCTGGCAGGACCTGAGCAAAGCCGCAGGAAGGCCCTGCAGGGGCAGCTGCAACCAGACACAAACTGCCACAGGCTGCCCCGCACACACTCACCCCCTTGAGAGACTCATATCTTTGCGATCGGGGTTTCTTGATGCCATTTCTGTGCCATTTTCGGGCTGTGGGGGGAGGGGGGGGAGAATAAGACCAAAATCAGGTTTCCCCCAATGTCACTATCACAGCTCCCAAGCCTGGGAGAGCCATTACCTCCCAAAGCAGGTTTTCTTGAGATCCCGGAAACCCCGCATCGCTGACTGCCAAGTACTGTGGGTACCTCAGTAGACCCGACTTCTAAGTCTACACCCCCAAAGGTAATACTGGCTAAAACCAAAGCCAGCCCCAGGGCCACAACAGAATCGGGCTCCCTTGCCCTGCCCCAGTCTCCTTAATCCTTGCCAGGGTCTGCAGCTGAGGCGGAGCTGGGCCAGAGGGACTTACATTGGTTGTGCGTGGTGTGGTTCTTGGACTTGGCCATCTCTGCGCCTGGAGGACGAGAGCGGCGATCAGGGCTGCAGGCTCGTGACGGGGCCTCCCCCCGCTGCCCTGGTCAGGAAGAACTCGAGGCCAGAAGCCAGGAGGCTGCAGCAAGATGCCTGGCATCTGCGGCTCCCACCTGCCCGATCCCCCTCCAGTCCCCGCAAACTCCGGCAATGGTGCCCCCAAACCAACATCCCCCAGCCACAAGCTGCGCTCTCCAGAATTCCGAGTTCTCTCCCTCCCTCCCACCTGCTCGACAGCCAAGGAGCACCGCCCCCGCCTCGCGGCCTCCGCTCCCCACAGCCAGCAAGCGGGCTCCCTGTCCTCCCCGAAGCTGGCACCCCAGCGCCGTTCGGGAGTCGCGGATGGATTCGGATATTGCCCGGCCAGTACTCACCCAAGCCCACAGCTCTCCAAGCACCAGAGAGCGGAAGAGAAGAAGGAAGGCCGCGGTGCAGCACGGGAAACAGGTCGCGGAAGCCGGAAGGTCCTACTGAAAAAAGCTTCCTCCAGCGCCGGGAAGAAAGGTTCCTAAGGCCCAGAGCGCACTAGTCAGATTGAAAGGCGTTGCTACGAGCTTGGCCTGGCCCCTGTGGGTTTCACCTTCCCCCTTCCACCGTCAGTCCTCCTGTACCACTTTCTTGGGCCTAAGTCTCATCATCAAAGACCAGAAGGAAAAGGGAGTACTAGGGGGTACTCCCTAGGGAGTACTACTAGTGTAGGCAGGAAGTAACAGATTCCCGTTTTTGAAAACTACCTCTGGGGAGGGGGCTGACTGGTGTAGCTGAGTGGATAACACTGGCCTGCCAACAGAAAGGTCACTGATTTGATTCCTGGTCCAGGCTCTAGTCTGGCTTGTGGGCCAGGTCTTCAAGAGGCAACCCACGGATGTCTCTTCCTCTCTTTCACCCTCCGTTTCCCTCCCTCTAAAAATAAATAAATAAATAAATAAATAAGCCCTGGCTGGTGTGGTTCAGTGGATTGGGTGCCTGTGAACCAAAGGGTCAAGGGTTCAATTCCCAATCAGGGCACATGCCTGGGCTGCAGGCCAGGTGCCCACTAGGGGGCACTTGAGAGGCAACCACACACTGATGTTTCTCTTCCCCTCTCTCTAAAAATAAATAAAATAAAAACAAATAGGTAAAATCTTTAAAAAAAAAAAGTTTCCCCTGGCATGGGGAGTGGACTGTCAGGGGTGCCGGGAAGGGAGGGCTGAGAGGAGGGGGTGCAGACGCTGTGGGGGTGTGACGGCATGAAAAGGAGAGGACTGAATAAGGGCGGAAGGAGAATAGACTGGACTTGGGGTGAAGTTGAGGGAGGCCAAGGTGGTCCCCAAGTTTTTGGCTTGAACATCTGGGTGAATGGTGGTGCTGTTTATGGAAATAGGGGAGGTTACGGGAATGATAGGGGTTTTGCTGCCTTGTCTTTTGCCAGGGACAGGTCACCGATCTAGACGTTTCTTCTCTGACGCATTATGTGTGATACACCCATCGACATCCAGCCTGAACAAGCACTGCCTCCGAACACTCAGCGGCCTGGTCTCCACCTCTTCCAGCTGCAGTTCATTCCCCACACAGCAGGGGGCGCCAGAGCGTGCTTTTTTAAGACAAATCAGATCTTGTTCTGTAAAGTCCGCACAGACTTCCCCCACGGACTTCCTTTTGCACTGGAGATCAATTTTCTCTCTCTCTCTTTTTTTTTTTAGGTTGGAAATACTGAATTTCTTTCTTTTTTTAAGATTTTATTTTTTTCTTTTTACACAAAGGAGAAGAAAGAGAGAAAGAGAGGGAAAGAAACAGTAATGTGTGGCTGCTTCTCGCATGCCCTCCACCAGGGGCCTGGCCTGCAACCCAGGTGTGTGCCCTGACTGGGGATTGAACCACAGCCCCTTGGTTCACAGGTCAATGCTTAGTCCACTGAGCTACACCAGCCAGGCCTGGAGATAAGTTCTTTACCTCTCCTAACCATGGCAACTATTCACTTCTCTCCACACCTGCGGGCTTCCTTCCTTCCTGCCAAGCTTGTTCCCACTCCAAGGCCTTCGCACCTGCCACCCCTCCACCAGGCCCACCTTTTCCCCACTCACCGGATGCTGTGCTTTCTTGGAGAGGCCTCCCTAGGCCACCCTATCTAGAAAAGACACCCTCTGCCACATCTCCCCAGTGACTCTGTGTCATCAGTCTGTTGGCTTCCTTCTCAGAACGTGCCTAGACTCTACTCATGTCCTTTGTTTACTTGTGGATGTGTCCACTGGCACAGGTGCCGTGACTTCAGGATTGGCTTGGTCACCTTCGCTTTCTCATTGCCTGGCACAGCACTTGATATACAAGAGGAGCTTAATAAACACCTGCAGTGCCACGTCCTCTTCCAACCGTGTTGTCTGACAAGGTCCGGGCATGGAGGATTCGAGTTCAAAGAATTCATCTCCCCGGAAGAGAACGTGGCATCCAAAATGGGTTAACAATTGGCTACTCTTGCTACTGAGTATGGACATTGTACTGTACTTACTTATTCCTGTGAAAATCACCCAAGAGGAAGAAACAGTTTAGGGGAAAAACATTAGTATTCCCCACGGAACTGCCTGAAAGGATGGACAAATCTCCACAGATTCCCCTCTCCCTTATACAGGGGAGTACAACAGCCAGGGCAATATAATTGTTGACCATAAAGGAAAACATGTCAAGTTGTATAAATTACCCTGGTTTGAGCAACTTAAAGCGATCAGGACCGCCATGGTGTACCAGAAATAAGAAAAACAAGTTACATGTTTGTTTGGGTAATCAAAAGGTGGTGGAATTGTTAAGACACCTGTATTTCAGGTTCATTGATTCGCACAATTCCAATGAAGTTGTACAAAATAATTTCTTGACCAGAGAACAAAGTTCCCTCTAATGAAATAGCCCCTGAATGTTTAGAAGTTGTTGGAGTAACAGCCCCTCCTTTACCTTGAATAAGAATATATATCAATTGGACAGGAAAAGAAATTTAAAAAGGGCTGGTTAACTATTACAAACTAAACACATAGAAACAGTTACTAGATAGTTTATAGTACACAGAGAAACATTTTAGACAGAAAAGGATAGATAGCTAAGTTAGACATTACAAAGGCCTTATAATAAATTTCCTATTACCTCTACTCAATCTAGCGTATCCTTTTGCCTCATGATAAATTCTGAGAAACTTTAATATACAATTAAGACAATTCAAAATACAATTCAATATACAATTCAAATTCTGTACATACAGCGACTTCTAATTGTCTGATTAATGGCTCTCCTGGTCAAAATAATCTTTGTTTATTATAACTGAATCTATGGGAACTTTCATATTTTTCCTGGTTACCTTTGTATTTTTTCTGCTTAACTGATCATGCTACACACCTGCAAATGTTAGTCACTACCTAAAATGAAAATATAAAAATCTGCTTGTACTTGCAATAAACGGAACAGAGCTTCACTGTCCTTTGAGGTGTGTTGTCGTCTGTTACCCAGCGCCGACGCCTACCCTCACCTGTGGGACCCCTTGACCCGCTGCGGCCGGACTGCGGCGCTGCAGAATAGAAATGCCTTGGCCAGGTGGGTTCAGGGAGAGACAGAAATAAACTGCACAGAGTTTGGGAGCAAAGAGGAAGGAAGATGTGGAGGAGGGCGTGCAGATGACTTTATGGGAGCAATCCTGAGCCGGGGAGAGAAACCTGGCAGATGTGAGTTAAGAGAATGGGGGGCAGGCTCCGATGCTGATGGAGTGACCTGGTGCCCAGAAAGAAACAGCTGAGTCCAGCTCTTGGCTCTGCCCAAGTCCACACCACAGAGGGCGGCACGTGGAGCCAGACCCCGCGTGGCCTCGACACGGCCAGAGCTGCTCTTTCACAGAGGCTGGGAGAGCCCTCTAGACAGAGCTTCGTTCTTCTCCACTTTTGTATCAGAGACTCCTCTGACGTCTGGTGTTTACTGATCTCTCTTCTCTTCTTTTTTAAAAAGATTTTATTTTTAGAGAGAAGGAAAGGGGGGGGGAGAAAGTGAGGGAGAGAAACATCCATGTGTGGGTGCCTCTTGCATGCGCCCCAACTGGGGACCTGGCCTACAACCCAGGTGTGTGCCCTGACCAGGATTTGAACCTGTGACCTTTCAGTTTGTGGGATGATGCATAACCCACTGAGCCACATGGGTCAGAGCTATAAATGATCCCTTTCAGACTAAGGTTTTTCTTTTTTTTTTATTTTTATTTTTTAATTGATTATGCTGTTACAGTTGTTCTATTCCCCCCCCTTCATTCCCCTCCACCCTACCCCCTGTCCCCACCATTACCCCCCTTTAGTTTATGACCATGTGTCTCAAGTCCTTTAGATTCTATATTTCCCATGCTATTCTTGCCCCCCCATCTATTTTCTATCTACTGTCTATGCTACTTATTTTCTGTACCTTCTCCCCCCATCTCCTCCTCCCACTCCCCTGTTGCTAACCCTCCTTGAGATCTTCATTTCTATGTTTCCACTCCTGATCTAGCTGTCCTTTTAGTTTGCTTTCGTTTTAGGTGTGGTTGTTAATAACTGTGAGTTTGTTGTCCTTTCACTGTTCATGTTTCTTTAACTTCTTTTTCTTAGATAAGGCCCTTTAACATTTCATATAATAAGGGCTCGGTGATGATGAACTCCTTGAATTTGATCTTATCTGAGAAGCACCTTATCTGTCCTTCCATTCTAAATGAAAGTTTTGCTGGATAGAGCAATCTTGGTTGTAGGTCTTTGGATTTCATGACTTGGAATACCTCTTTCCAGCCCCTTCTTGCCTGTAAGGTCTCTTTTGAGAAATCTGATGACAGTCTGATGGGGACTCCTTTGTAGGTGACTGTCCCCTTAGCTCTTGCTGCTTCTAGGATTCTCTCCTTCATTTTAATCTTGGCTAATGTAATTATGATGTGCCTTGGTGTGTTCCTTCTTGGGTCCAACTTCTTTGGGACTCTCTGAGCTTCCTGGATTTCCTGGAAGTCTATTTCCTTTGCCAGACTGGGGAAATTTTCCTTTATTATTTGTTCAAATAAGTTTTCCACTGATGGCTGTGCCTTTCCCCCTTCTGGTACCCCTATAATTCGGATATTGGAGCATTTAAAGATGTCCTGGAGGTTCCTAAGACTCTCCTCATTTCTTTGAATTCTTGCTTCTTCACTCTTTTCTGTTTGGCCATTATTTGCTTTCTTCTGGTCCACTCCATTGATTTGAGTCCCAGTTTCCTTTTCATCGCTATTGGTTTCCTGTGCAATTCCTTTCATTTCAATTAGTTTCGCCTTCATATGTTTCTCTAATTTGTGGCTATAATCAACCAGTTCTGTGAGGATCCTGATGACCACTGTTTTAAACTGTGCGTCTGAGAGTTTTGCTATTTCTTCATCGCTTAGGTCTATGGGCTCTGGGGCTTTGAGCAACTTGTGACATTTTTGGTCTGTTCTGGCCCTTTAAGTGTGAGAAGCGGCGCCTTGGACTCCCAGGTC